AGTGACCAACCAACCAAAAATACAAAAAAGGACTGGAGATGTAGCTCAGTGCTGAGGCCGAGGGTTCAACCCCAACAAGGGAAGGAGTGGCGGGGCAAAAAGACACTTTGAGTATAAGAATTTGATCTAGAGCTGGGATGTAGCCTCAGCGGTATTTACAAGACAGAGCACCTACAAAGCCCTTGTGTTTGATCCCCAGCATTGGAAGGAAAAAAAAAAAAAGACCGTAAGTCGATAATAAACATTAAAAAGAAATTTAATTAAACAGTGACTACTGAAAAGATAGAGAAACTGACTTGGGTGACAATACAAAACACTGCACCCAGGGGCTTCGCACTAAGATATATCCCCTCTTTTATTTGTTTGAGACAGTGTCTGACTGAGTTAGTAAGTAGCCAGGCTGGCCTCAAACTTGTGATCCTTCTGCCTCAGCCTCCCGGAGTGGTGTGGCTCACCTCCACACTTGGCTCACAATGCAGAATTTAAAGGATAATTTAAGAGCTATTCAATAATTGAGAAGTAAACTAATTTCCTCTTGCTGACAAAATTAACGGTCCCATACAAATTGCAACTCCCTGTGCGGGGGGGGGGGGGGGGGTGAACCTGCGGCAGTGGCTGCTTAGTCCTGTCACTGCCCAACGTTACACAGTGTGGAGGAAAAAAAGCTGTCCCAGCCAATTCTGTCAGCAGAGGGGGCTGGCTCAGGCCCGTTGGCCACCACTTCCAGATGCCTGCTTTCTCTTCAGGTCATATAACTCTTTCACCTTTTACCAATGCCTGCTTGGTTTTTCTTTGTCTTTCTTTCTTTCTTTCTTTCTTTTTTTTTTTTTTTTTTTTGGCAGAATCGAGGATCGAACTCAGGCCCTTGCGCTTGCCAGGTAAGCGCTTATTCTACTGAGCCATCTCCCCGGCCCTCTGCTTGGTTTTTCTGACCCACACTATTATCTTTAAATTTCTTCTCAGATGTCTATGGATGCAGCTTTTTAATTTTTTGATTTGAGACAGCATTGTCCATGCTGACCTGGAATTGTAATCTCGCCTCAACCTCCAGAGTGCTACTGGGGTTATAAGTGTGCACCACCATGCCTGAATGAAAATGCAGTTTTTAGCCCCCTAAAGTCTATCGGACTGGAAAGGACATAAGAAGAGTCAATGTTAAGCAAACTAATTTATATTATTCAAGAGCGGTAGTTTCAGAGTGAGGTTTTTCGCCCTTAGGAGTAAAATAAAAAAGAAAAGGAACAAAAACTGGGGGAGATTTAACATGTAAAAAGAAGTAACATAAAATTGGGGCTGGGGAGATAGCTTAGTGGTCTAAGCGCCTGCCTGGCAAGTGCAAGGATCTGAGTTCAATCCCTGGTACCACACACCTTGCCACTCGAAGGTGGTGCATGTCTGTAATCCCAGTGCTCAGGAGGCTGAGACAGGAGGACCACTTAGAGTCTGAGCTGCATAGTGAGACCCTGAAGCAAAAAATAAAATAAGTAACATAAAATAAAACATAAAAAGGAAAGAACAGGATTTAGTTAACAGATAGATGGGAGGTTAAGAGGAGGGACTTCTGTTTCCAAAATAACAGAATCCCAGAAGTTTTGAGGTGAAACATGGAGGAGTTGGTTGGGTGACCCCAACAGCTTCTGTGAGGTAGAAAGCTAAGTTACCTGCTTCTAGTGAGCACTGAGGTTCTGAAGTTTTCAGTGGAATGGAAAGGATTGGGAAGATGACCGATGAATTGAGAGTTTGTGACAGATAAGGAAAGAGGCCCAGGATCTCAGATAATATAGGATGTGTGTATTTTTGTGGATTGAAATATTTAATAAAAGACAATTATTAAAGTTTTTTCAGGTCCAGACAAATAGCTCAGCAGATTAAAGCGCCTGTGAGCAGGTGCAGGGGTCAGGGGTTCGATCCCCGGGTCCGCCATGCCAGTCCCACCCCCAGGGTGTGCTGAGATGGCAATTGAGACTGGGCATGGTGGCACACACCTGTAATCCCAGCTCTTGGGAGGCTGTAAACAGGAGAATCACTATGAGTCGATCTAGTAATGAGACCCTGAACATCCTGTAGACCCTTCCCTAAAATACAGGAAAAAATTATAAAATAAACTTCTTTCAGTCTCCAATCTTTAGTAAAAGATGAAAAGTTTATAGAATCTGAAGAGAAACCAAAGTATACCCATCTTAACTGATAAAGTTGAATGGAATCCTACACCCAAGATGACTGCATTCATCCCTATAGGATTCCTCTCCTCTTCCATGAGCAGGAACATCTGACTAGGAAATAGTCCTTCAATCTGAGCTCTCTAGGTCTTAATTGTCAAACTTCAGTAATAAGGGTGTCACTTTTGAAGGTATTCTAGAGCCTATATACTTCCTTGAAGCTAATTACACTTAAATTGACAGGATATAAGGTAAATAATTTCCTTTAAATCTCAACAGAGATAGAAACTTGAAAGTATGTTTTTAAATTCAATAATCCAACATGTATTTCTTGGCAGCATGCTGTCCTAGGCGACAGAAGTGCCATAGATAGATCTAAGACAGCATCCTGCTTTTAGGAAAACTCGCTCATTCTGTGGATAAAAATAAAATGGAATCTTTGTCTGACATTACTTACCAGGGTAAAGTCAAGATGGAGTGAAGACCTACCAGAACCTAGCAGAAGAAAATATAGAAAAAAGTCCTTTTGACCAAAAATGGGAGAAGTATTAAATAAAACCCAAAAGCACAATGTAAAATAACATTAATAATGTGAGTACCTTGATTATATCAAACAACAAAGTCAACAGATGGCTACTTGCATTAAAAAATATGTGCTAAAACCAATTAAAGATAATAAAATATAGCAGGTGTGATGGTTTGAGACTATGTAAGAGAAATAATGCCATACAGGACACATTTAATAGTAGTATTTTATAATGAATCACCTAAAGAATTATACACAAGGAATGTAGGAACTCTGTCCACACACTGTAGACCAAAGAATCCACAGGGCCTGGATCCCACAGCAAGCTCCTGCATGAGTCCAGCTGAAAACCTAGAGCTAATACAATGCCTCCCACAAGTCCAACTGGAGCCTAGAACCTACGACAAAGTCTCATGCAGGCCCACTTCATAGATCTGCACTGGAAAGGCCCAAGGGTCAGTGGTGGAAGCTACAAAGTCTACACCAGTGAGATGAAGAATCTGTGCCAACAAGCTGAGGGATCTAAAC